CAATAATAATATGATATAATTTGACATATTCATCGATTTATAAAATAAATAAGGATAATTTAAAATATTTTATGTCAAAATAAGATTAATTGTAATTTTATATCATTTTATTATTATAATAAATAATTAGATTATTTTCATAATTTATAAAATGCAAAGAGATGAAAAATATGATGGAAATAAATTGATTTCATTTTCAATTGAATTTAATTGTCTAATGTGAATGAAGAAATTTCAAATATAATTAAATATAGTGTAATTAAAACAAGAATAAATTATTGAAAATCGTCATTTTCTTTAAAGTTATTTGAAAGAAAAAAGAATAAGTTTATGTTATTAACAATTATAAATGTTAATAAATGTCATTTGTTTTTGTAAAGTAATTTTTTCATATTTTACATAATGAATGAAACATTATATTTTGTACAATTTATTTTCTTCGCCTCTAATTGTAAAATAACAAACATCATTTTATGTATGTTTATAATGTATTTGAAAAAATAAATAAAAGATAAAAACGAAATTAACAAAGAATAAAACAATTAAATCTAAATATAATTATTTATACATGGATTTAAAGTTTATTAAGTAATTTTAACATTAAAAAGAATAATTAAAACAAGTGGTAAATCAAATTCAAACATAAAGAAGTTAATTAATTCTTATGTGTTGTTAATATTCATTTTCATGTAGAATGTAATTGAAATGGTAATAAAATATCAAATTATATTGTTAAATTTTACAAAGAGGCAAGATTAAAAACAGTTTTATCAATAATTTAATGTAGAAAGAGTTTCTGATAATATTCAACAAAACGTTAAAATTATATCAGATATATGTCAATTAAAATACTTTTGAGTTATGTGTGTATTATATGAATAAAATAGTATAACCATATCACAAAATGAATTGATTAGAAAACGAGTAAAGTTGTAAAAGATGAAAGCAAAAAGAGTTGAATAAATTTATTAAATAAATAAAAATATTGATATTCAATGTATTTTATACATTCACACTAAAATGAAAAATAAAACAAGAATCGAGAAAAAAAAAGAGAAAAACAATAGAAGGTGAATATGATTCGAACCAATTTGTTATTTTAATGAAATATTGATGAGTATTTTATGATGAATATTTCTGTTATAGTTACTCTTTTTTGTACCTTTACTCTTTTGAGAGATGTATTTTTATATTCAATAATCTCTATTTTGTTGTTATTAATTTCTTATCGTTGAATGTTCCATTTACACATGTGTTGTATTTTCAACCTTTCTTTCATTTAAACATCATTTAATTCACTTAATTTCTTTTATTTGTTATTTTCTATTTATTTTCATTTTTATTTCCATTGGTTACTATTAAAATATTTATGATGATAAAAATGAGTGAAATGATTGATATAATTATTATGATTACTGTATTTCTGTTAATACAAATATAACACATTTTATAGTTATTCTATCATTTGTATTTATTTGATGATACGATTTTCTCTTTTGTTATTATGTTTAATGTTTTTGTGATGTTTCCTGTTTTTCATTTTTTAATGAAAAGAAAATAAATGAAAAATAAATTGAAAAGAGTTGAAATAAAAATGATAATATTTTATATCACAATCATTACCCCTTCAATGTTATTATAATTTCAGAATAATGTTGTTTGAAATAACGAAACAAAGAAATGGTATTAACGATAAAATTAAAAGAATAAATAAGAGAGAAGTTTAAATGAAATAATTCGATTGATTTTATCTAATTTTAATTTAAAAAAATTATGCTAACAAAAATGGATAAAAAGGAATGATTAAGAAGTAATTATCATTGTTATTTTACATTGACGAAAAGTTTATTGTAATTTTATTTCATAAACATACAATTGACGATAAAATATACCGAAATAAATAAAAATAAAACGAAATAAAATATTAAAAACGGTGTTTAGTATCAAAACAAATGATGTTTATGAGAAACAACCAATCAGAAAAGAAGTAACATAATTAAACAAATAACCTATTTTGCCGAATGGTATATATTTAAACAAAAAAATAAACTTAATAATCATTAAATGTCAAGAGTAATAGTAAGATTTATCTTGAATGGAGAATGCATTGCGACTAAACCACTAAATTCACAAGACGATTTAAAAACAGTAAGAGAGAAAATAAAAGGAAAGATGCTTGATTCACAACATTTTTTAACAATAGATGGGGATGTAATTGATGTGAACGATGAAGAGTGTTTTACTGTAGGAGATGTAATTGATGAGAAAAGAATAATAAATATTAAAGGAACAGAAGATAAAAAAGGAATAAGAATAAAGATAAATGATAAGTTAATTACCACTATTGAAATAGACAATAAAACACCATTAAGTAATATTAGAACATTAGTTCAAAATATACCAGAATCAGCATATTTCTATACACTTGATAATGACAGAATTGATGTGAATGATGAAGAGTGTTTTACTGTAGAAGATATAATAAATAATGAAGAAATTAATCTTAAAGAAGAGAAAGAAAATAAATCAGAAATAAATGATGTAACAATTGGAATATGTTTGAATGGAAAACCAATGATCAAAAAGAAATTCAACAAGAATATTTCTCTTTCAGACGTTAGAAAAGAATTTGAAAATATCAAACAAATTCCAAAAGACTTTGATTTTGAAGATCTAGAAGGATTTAAAATACAAACGGATGATGAACAATCTTCACAATTAACATCCATTTTGCATGATAATAAAATCAATATAACAACAGAAGGAATTGATATTTCTCTAAAT